GTCAGGCTCAAAAGCCTAACGCTGCAGCACCTGCAAAGGCGATCGCGGATCCATTCAGATCTGTTCCAGTTCTACATCTGACATCTGAGGCTGTAAAAGGCAGGCAAACGCCACATTCTTCCGGCATTCATCCTGCTTTTCTAATTTCTATTTTTACAAAGCCCGTTGGTGACCATGCATGGCCATGTGGGTAAACTCGGTCAGCCACTGCCCACTGATCGAAGTATACCTGTTGTCAATCAAGCAGTAAAAAAGATGCAATCCTGTCCCTGTGTTTACTTCGTAACTTTCGTAACATGAGCTGCGTTGCTCACGCCCCACGGACAGGCTAGTGCTAAGCACTAGGGCGCAAACACTGACAAACTGTGGACACAGCTGGTTAGGTCCCGTTTGGATGCGAAAATTTTTGGCTTTTGGCTACTGTAGTATTTTCGTTGTTATTTGATAATTAGTGTCCAATCATAATCTAATTAGGTTTAAAAGATTCGTCTCGTGGATTTCGTCTGAACTGTGCAATTAGTTATTCTTTTTACCTACATTTAATACTCCATGCATGTGCCACAAGATTTGATGTGACGGAAGAATCTTAAAAAAATTTGGATTTTGGGTAGGATCTAAACAGGGCCTTAATCTATACGCAAGTGAGGACGTAGTGACAGGGCTACGAGGCATCAGTAAGACAAAATGCGGCGTATGGCTGTCGTCACTGCTGTTGCTAATTAAGCTCTGAACAAACTGGTTAAATCTGTAGACCGTAGACGACTGAGCAAGGATCGAGTGAGACCACAGCCAGGACGCCTCAGCAAAGACAAATGTGGCGTATAGTTGTCATCACCGACGTTAGTCCCGTAGGTCGCCTTTCCCTGTCAAGGAAAACAACGCACGTTCTCGGACACTGATGTCTGATGACCTGCCGCTGCTGCATCTGCATCTTGCCGGTGTTCAAGTTGCCAGTTCAACCTGCGTACTAGTAGATTCAAAAAGGCTGCAACTGCGGAGGTGCCCCCAGGCATTGTAAATTTTTGCAACCTAGATATTATAGCATGTTTTGTTTGTATTTGACAAACTTTATTCGATCATGGACTAGGCTCAAAAGATCCATCTTGTGATTTACAACCAAACTGTGTAATTAGTTATTTTTTTTACCTACATTTAATGATCCATACATGTGTCCAAAAATTAATGTGATGAAGAGAGAGTGAAAAAGCTTAGAATTTGGAGGTGATCTAAACAAGGCCCAAGCCTATATGTACGTACCGTCCTATGGCCGTATTATGCAGATGAGATATTCTCCCTTGCCACACCAGCTGAACTGCGAGGCGAGGATCCTGCTCCTGCTCGAAGCGGACAGTCCTCGCCTACTCATGGCATGGCATGGCTCATCACGGAGTCAGGGTCACGGGACTACGGGAACGAATCAGATTCCGATCACCGGTCATGGTCCTTGCTGTTACGGCATACGTACACGTACGCGATCTGTATTCGGCGTACGTGCATCATTGCGCCGGCCGGGTGCATCCAATCTCGCATGCAGCTGGAGATGCGATGCCGATACGATACGATGCCCGGGGTGCGTGAGTGACGGGAGACGACAGAAGCAGGCCAGGAGGAGCTCCTCGTCTTTTCGGGGGCATGATAGATGATTGCTGATGATCCGGCACAGTCGATGGGTATGTGGACCGTGGTCATTACGTGCGCACAATGATACAAGCTGGTACCTGGGCAGTGATGTAATTTGAAGTTTAGGCCATGTTTAGTTCCTCTATTTTGCAAAATAATTTTGGATTCTGGGTCATCTTTTTGTAAAATGTAACTAAACATGGGTGTGAAAAGTGCAAAAAGTTCCCCTCCAAAAAATTTCACATTTTGGACTCCAGACCCTCGAATCCGAAATTTTTCACCTCGGTCCGCGGCCTGGACGCGCCTGTACCCCTCGCCCGCTCCCTCCCTAACCTATCCATTCGCTCGGCCGCCACTCTCCTTCCTTTCTCCATCTCCATCTCCGCCACTCTCCTCCACCGTCGCCGCGCTGATCTCCCTCGCAGCCGCTCCTCTCGGTCTCTCCCCCACCTCCTCCATCGCCAGCCTTCACCTTCTTCCCCACACTTCCTTCACCGCGGCCGGCCGTGCCCTCTCCACGCGTAGATCGGGCTTTCAAGCCGCGTCCGAGCGCTCATGGACGGATTCTAAGGCAACGGCGGCGGGTACGGAAACGACGACGGCACCCGCGATTTCTTCTCCCAACCGGAGCACTCGTCGGCTTTCAACCTCTACTCCGACCCGCCGGCGCAGTTCCCTAGTTCAAGCTCCATCAACGCTCAACGGGCCGGCCTCTCCTCCCTCGATCTCAACTCCAACGGCGAGGCTTGGCCCGGAATGGGGAGGTACGAGAACCTCCTATGCTACGGCCAGGACGAAGTAGATGGCGAGGGCGGCTTCTCCCCCTCTCCCGTGCGCGTCCGTGCCTCCGGGCGTACCCTTGGCGTTCGGACGGCTCGATCCGGTGGCGGAGGAGGCGGCATGGCCGGCCGCGCGGGCCTCAACTCTGGCGCTCCGCGTGCCCCACGGCCGACTCCACTCTCCGGCAGCGACACGCGTGGATCTTCGTCCACCGCACCTTCTGGATCGGTTCCCCTTCGCGGTCGCCGGTCCCATTCTCCGGTAACTCATCCGGCAGCCATGGCGGATGACAACTTCAACGTGGATCCGGTCGCAGATGGTGAAAAAGACGACCTCGAAGAGATTCTGGCGCCCACTAGGAACGCTCGAGCCTCGGTATGAACCATATCCTCCCTCGCTGGCTTACCATTTTCACGTGTTTTCATTTGCCGAATGCATGATGTGTATGTACATATCTACGTTCCAATTTGGTTTAGGCTAAAAAAGATATATGCAATCGGAATGGGCCAAACACAGGTGTCCTGTGCACCCTGTGGTGTCAACAGATCAAGGTAAAAAAGAAATCTTCAACTTTGCACATTCGTCTCTTAGAAATATCATCGAGAGGTCTTTTGGGGTTTTGAAGATGAAGTGGAGGATTTTGTTGAGTATGCCGAGATATCCACCTCATGTGCAAAGCCAAATAATAGTAGCTTGCATGGCACTGCATAATTTTATTAGGAGCAGTGGCATAGTGGACAAAGATTTTGATCGTTGTGATTGTGATGAGAATTATGTGCCACCCGAAGCTCTGGCATCGCAGCCACAAACTCAGGCCTCGTCGTCAAGGGATGAATCTGCGTTGATGAATGCTTTCCGTGACTCAATTGCGCTTGCTTTGATGAATAGGACATAAAATTCATACATGAGTGATGTGGTTTCTGTGTATGAGTGATTGGTTTGTTATATGTTGTAATGCTTATGAGTGATTGGTGCCTTCAGTTGTAATGGACTCGTGACATTGAACATTTGTACATGAGTTATATGGTTTCTGTGTATGAGTGATTCTGTGCATGCAAATGTGCCGAGCAGCAAGCATAGCATGCATGTGCATGGCTGGTATTAATGGTCCAAAAGCATTATTTATTATGGGCAAATCTGTCATCTTTTATTACAGCTCAAAAGTTTTCAGGTACATCTAAACAGGGTCTGAAAATGTTTTGCAGAATTGGGTTTTTACCTTGAAAATATTTCGCAGAAAGTTTTCAACCCATTTCGCATCTAAACACCACCTTAGCCCATGGCCTTGTTTAGATCACCTCCAAATTCTAAGTTTTTTCACTCTCTCTCCATCACATCAATTTTGGACGCATGCATGGAGTATTAAATGTAGGTAAAAAAATAACTAATTACACAGTTTGGTTGTAAATCACGAGATGAATCTTTTGAGCCTAGTTAATCCATGATCGGACAAAGTTTGTCAAATACAAACGAAACGTGCTACAGTGTCCAGGTTGCAAAAATTTGCAATCTAAACAAGGCCCGTGTTTAGTTGGCCAAATTTTGGAATTTGGACTACTGTAGCACTTTCGTTTTTATTTGGCAATTAGTATTCAATCATGGACCAATTAGGCTCAAAACGTTCGTCTCGTGATTTTCAACCAAACTATGTAATTAGTTTTTTTTCGTCTATATTTAACGCTCCATAAACGTATCGTAAGATTCGATGTGATGGTTACTATAGCACTTTTTAGAAATTTGGGTTTGTAACTAAACGCTGCGTTAGCGATGCCCGGCGCGTGTGGCAGCGGCTACGCACGAGCTGGACCAGTGCTGGGCACAGTACAAGCTTTGGCAGTGCCAGGAGCCAGGGCCCGGGTGGGGCCGTGGGGGCGACTGCCACGGCAGGAGAGAATGCTGCGGTGGCAGAAAGGGACACGCACGCTGGTTCCACCGTTGCCGTGCTGATCGTGGCGCAGGACGTACGCGGTACGCCCCCCGACCGCACTGCCACCACGACGCGGGTTTCGTTCGCCTCTCGCTCTGCTGGACTGTTGCCACCCGCTCGCGCCAACCACCGCCCCAGCCCCCGCCGAACTCCATGCGCGCACGGGCACGCGCGTGCGAGTGCGATACGACGCGAGACGCCCGTCGCCATCGATCCAGATTCCATCCGAGGCCCTGTTAGCCTATTTCATCAACTTATTCTCTCGTACATGACACTAAAAGAACGCAACGCCTTTCCACATCCTATCCCTTTTCACCAGGCCTCGCCATGATTAGCACCATAAACATCACTCGATCTAGCATGTTCACTCGTAGTCGCAGTGGTAGGAGTAGAATACAAAAAGGGTAGTAGCACATTCCCGTGCGTTTTCCGGTACGCGGAAATGGAACAAAATGAACTGATAGTAGTAGTGTATTGCCTATGACTATGAGCAGCGACGTACATTGCCACCCTGGGTAGGAAAAGATAAAGACAATCAGCCTGTTGGGAGGACGTATCGTATCGTAGATTATTTACTGCTGACTGATTTGATGAGAGAAAAACACTATTCCTAAAAATTTACGATCGAGCAAGCGAGCGAACAGGCTGAATGCACGTGTACGAGAGTACACCACTACACACGCCACGCCGGTGGCGAGCGGCGGAGGCGTGACGGCGTCCTGGGCACTGGCGGCCTGCCCGGTTCCCGGTGTGAGACGGAGGAGGCCCAGCCGGCGCCCGGGCTGGCGCAGCAATCGAGGGAGGCAGCGGCTACGAACACGTCGTCCCAGATCTCGGCGAATGCCCGGAGGATGGCGTCGTGGTGGTGCGGCGCGTTGAGGGTGAGGAAGCGCCGGAGCATCTCGCGCAGGTCCTCGCCGGCGACGATACCGTTCTCCACGATCATCTGCAGCATCGACCGCCGGAAGTCGCCGAGCGGGTCGTCCGACCGCTTCACCACCGCCACGCTGCCGTCGAGCCCCGCGCCCGAGCCCGCGTCGACGGAGCGGTCCTCTTTGGCGGCGTCCCTGATGAGCTCGCCCTTGGCTCTCCTGCGCTCCTGCCGCAGGGGCAGCGGCCGCAGCGCCAGCGCCGGCTCCGGAGGCGAGAGCTTGTCCTCGCGGTGGTGGTGGCCCTTCCGCGCGGCGCCCCACGACGCGACGCTCCGCTCCAGCTCGCTGAGCTCGCGCAGCAGGCCGGAGAAGCTCGGCGTGGCGACGGCGCGCTCCGTCTCCGGCAGCATCCGGCAGCCGCCGTCCTTGTATCCCAGCTCCGCCACGGCGTCTTCCCAGAGCGAGGACGACGACGCGGTCGTCAGGGTGGTCAGGGTGTCCGTCGTCGTCGTCGACGCCCACGGGTTCAGCCCGGCGCTCCTGCGGCGCGTCACCGCTGTCGTCGCGGACGGCGTCGCGGGCGCGGACGCGGACACCGACACGCTCTTGGCGTCCTTGCAGCCGCACCCAACAAGCGTGAACCCCGCGCCGCTGCCGCTGCCGCTGCCGCCGTGGCGCCTCTTGGCCGGAACGGCAGGGCTCTTCATGGCTCGTGCTCTTGCCTCTACCTCACCGAGTGTGGTGGTAGGACTGGTAGCCTTGCGCGGAGGACAGTGGTGTTTGTCGGTCTGGCTTTCGTGTTGCAAGGCTGGAACGGCTCGCGACGTCTTATAAAGCGAGGAGGCCACGGCGTCCCCGACCCCGTGTAAATTGGCGCGTCTGAACCCAAGAACTTTGCATCGAAGGATGGGACGTTCGGAAGCCGTCGGATCTCGAATCGCACGGATCGGCAGGCGCCACGGCAGGCCACCAATTCGATCTCTCCAATGATTCCCTCTTGTGAGATTGAAACAACACAAGGCGGCGCTGCTAATGAATGAGCTGCACAGTTTGTAAATCGTAAGTGTTTTTTTTAAAAAATCTGCAAACTGATGCATGCAGGATTGCAGATGGCACAGTTGCGTTATTAACTACGTGCCCTCATGTATGTGCCAACCTTACGCCTGCAGGTCCCGAGATGGCCCATTGGACCATTGGTTGCTTGCAAACCTGCAGTGTGGGTCTGCGGGAAGTAGAAGTCCGCGCGCGTGGTCAAGTTGGGCATAAAACTCCGTGGCGCGCGCAGTTGCCGTGGACGACGGGGCTATTCCGGGGGCACGTTTGGTTCCTACGCCAACGACCGCTGTTGCCGCATCCTGCCGGAATTGTGCCGTTGTTTCTGGTCGCATTGTGTAACGTTACTACTACGGATAACTGGTATATGGAGAAATTGATGGAGCACCCTCTGGGTACGGTTCTGGTAGGTGACCAAGTTCGAGTTCTTCTCTTCCTCATTCGGCCTTTACATAGAGGGGCCTCAAAGGGCTGGTCGCACCCTCTGGGTACGGTTCTAGTAGGTGACTAAGTTCGAGTTCTTCTCTTCCTCATTCGGCCTTTACATAGAGGGCCTCAAAGGGCTGCCTCCGGTTCTGGGCCACGCAGGGCCGATACTTCTACTTCGCCCATTCTGGGCCAATCATGCGTGGGTTGGGCCGTCGGCTTCTTGCCATCCGATCCAATATCGCAGCTCCACGATTGAGGCGCCCTTCAGAACTACGCCTCCCGCCACCGTATCATCCTCTCTAGCTTCTTTAGGTTCCTTGTCAGTTGCAATCACCGAAGATGTCGCCAGGGGCATCGACGGTGACACCCCCTCCTCCTTTAGAACCAGCTTGTCCCCAAGCTGATGCCCGCGGAAACTGTTGCCGCAAAGGTTCTTCATCTTCCTAGGTACTCAGATCTTCAGGAAAGTAAGACCAGCGTACCAAAACTTGAGGTATCATCGTTTGCCGGTGTTGGCGAAGACGTTTGTCCAGAATTGCTATAGGGACCTGCATCTAGTTAGAAATATCGAGTAGTTCAGAACTTACAGTGGTACTTGGAGAAATAATTGTCTTTAATTGAGAGACATGAAAGATCGGGTAAATATGACAAGTGTCAGGCAGCTGCAAACGATATGTTGCGGTCCCAATCTTCTCCAGGATGATGAAAGGGCCAAAATACTTGAATGATAATTTGTTAGAAGAACGAGGTGCCAGGGATATTTGGACATACGGTTTCCTTGAGATACATTGAATCACCCACCATAAAAGATCAAGCTGATCTGTGTTTATCGACTGAGTTTTCATCTTGTTTTGAGCCCTGATCAAGTGTTGTCTCACCAATTGTTGCATAAGCTCCCTTTCCTCCATCCAATTCTAGAGATCAATGTTTTGACAAGACTGTGCAATGTCAATGCCAAAATATTTGGGTTCGTGACCATATGGAACTAGAAATGGGCTCTGTCCAAGTGATGAATGGGAAGAAGTGTTGTACCAGTACTTAGCCAAAGATAACCACTGAGACAATTTGTTGGGCAAGCTTGAACAAGACATTTGAGATAAGTTTCTAGGCACTGGTTCACCCACTCAGTTTGACTATCAGTCTGTGGGTGATAGGCACTACTCATTTTCAGTTCTGTGCCAAGCAGCTTGAAAAGTTCTTGCCAAATGTTACTAGTAAACACCTTATCTCGGTCAGATTCCATTGCCTAAAGGAGACCATGTAGTTTGAAGACATTGTTCATGTATGTAAGTGCTACTTGAAGTGTAGTGAAAGAGTGAGATAGTGGAAGGAAATGAGCATACTTTGAGAATTTGTCCACTACCAACAAAATACAGTTGGATCCAGCTGACTTGGGAAGTCCTATAAAATCCAAGGTCATAGTTTGCCAAGCACCTTCAGGTATGGGCAATGGGGCTAGCAAGCCTGGATATGGTACTCTTTTTGATTTGGCCTATTGACAAATTGTACACTGAGCGACAAACCCTTTGACAAAATTTTTTGAGTTTTGGCAAGGCAAAAAGATGTTTAACTCTCTTATATGTGACTTCATAGCTAGAATGGTCCCCAATAGCACTAAAGTGTAATGCAGCTAAAATTTTTGTTTGAATGTGAATATCAGAGCCAACCCAAATTTTGTCTTTGTACCTGATGAGACCATCTTGAAAGAGTATAAGAGCCATGTGGAGATGATATAGAGAGACCAGCCAGTAGCTACACAGACTGTGGATCACTGTAAGAGGACTGGATTTCCTAAAGCCAGAGAGGTTTAACCACTGAAAATTGTAGATAAATCATAAGTTGTGGTTGAGGATACCCTTGATAGGGCATCTAACACTTTGTTGTCAACACCCTTCTTATAAATGATCTTATAATTGAGTCCCATCAATTTGGTTAGGGCCTTGTGTTGCCATGGAGTAGAGGGTCTTTGATCATCTAAGTTTGTGAGACTTTTCTGATCTGTCAGAATAATAAACTAGGAGCTCTGAAGATAATGGTACCAATGTTCCACAGCCGTTAGAATGGCAAGGCATTCCTTCTCATATGTAGATAAGCCTTGAGCTTTAGGTCCTAGCCTTAATGACATAAGCAATGGGATGACCTTGTTGTTGAAGTACAACCCCAATGCATTTAGCAGATGCATCAGTTTCCACCACAAAAGACAATGAGAAGTTGGGTAGAGCCAAAACTGGGGCTGATATCAGAACTTTCTTGAGAGTTTGGATTGTAGTTTCTGTTTCAGATGTCCATACAAACAAAGTCCCCTTTTTGAGTAGATTAGTGAGGGGTTTAGAAATGAGACCAAACTGTGAGACAAATCGTATGTAGTATCCAGTCATCCCTAAAAAAGTCCTGAGCTCCTTGACATTAGTAGGTGTTCGCCAATTACTGATTGTGCCTATTTTGGAAGGATCAGTGGCCACTCCATGTGAGCTGACAATGTGTCCCAGATAACACAATTGTTCTTTAGCAAAAGAACACTTGGCCAATTTGACATGAAACTGATGTTGTTGTAAAAGTGTTAGCACTGCTTTGATATGTTGCAAATGCTCCTCCCAAGACTTACTATAGATTAGGATATCATCAATGAAAATCACTGCACATTTCCTTAATAGAGGTTCCAGAAGCACAATCATAACTCCCTGGAAAGTAGCAGGTCCTCCAGTAACCCCATAAGGCATAACCCTATATTCATAATGGCCATTGTGTGTCTAGAAGGTTGTTTTATACTCATCACCTACAGCCATTCTGATATGATAAAAGCCAGAACAAAGGTCCAATGTGGTAAACCAAGTTGCACCTTGCAATTCTTCTAAAAGCTCTTCTATGATTAGAAGTGGGTACTTGTTTTTAACAGTGAGAGCATTAAGGCGCCTAAAATCAACACATAGACACCAATCCCCCATTTTGTTTCAAACCAATAAAATAGGAGATGAGTAAGGACTAGTATTGGTTTGAATCCACCCTTTGTCAAGCATTTCTCTGATTCGTTGTTCCATTTCTGTTTTTTGAGCTGGATTATAACGATAGGGTCTCAAGCAAAAGGGTTGAGCTCCTTCTAGAAGAGGTGTCTTATGATCTCCTAGTCTTGGTGGAGGTAGACTAGTTGGTGGATCAAAAACTGGTGAGAATTGCTTGATAATCTACTATAATTCTTCAGGTAACTATTGTGTGGGTAATACAGAAGAAGAGACCTCATATAATTGTATCAGGTACATTATGGAGTCGGTCTTATCAAAAGCTTGGAGTTGATGTTGTGAAACAGGTTCCCCCATGGTGGCTTCAGAAAGAAGACCTTGCAACTTGACTTCTTGATTGTTGTAGTTGAATTTCATCCATCTTTCTTGCCAATGGATGTGCATTGGGCTGTGAGCTCCGAACCAATCCATACCCAGTATAATGTCATAACCTTGCAATGGTATGATTTTCAGAGTGGATATAAAAGTGTGACCCTCATAGCCCCTAACTTGATTATGCAATTCATGTGTATAGGGCAGATAGTCTCCAACAGCAACTTGTACCTTGACTGGATGATTTAGTAACTACCAAGGTGTAATGGTGGATGCCATAGTATGACCGACAAAACTATGGGAACTTGAAAGGTCCTAATAGCTAGAGGGGGGGTGAATAGACTAATAAAAATTTCTACAACAACACTCAACAAAAGGGTTAGACAATTATGAGGCGAAGTAAGTATTGCGCTAGCCTACTCAAAATGCAAGCCACCTACCACAATTCTAGTTTAGGTAGAATCTATTCACACAATAGCTATGACACTACTCTATGTTAGTGTGCTCTCAAAGGCTAACTAAAGAGCCACACCAACCAACCAAGCAAGCTCTCACAACTAACTATACTAAAAAGCTTGACAACTAGTTTGCGGTAATATAAAGAGAGTGATCAAGAAAATTATACCGCCGTGTAGATGAAGGAACCAATCAATCACAAGGATGAATAACAATGAAGACCAATCACCTCGGAATCAATGATGAACACAATGATTTTTTATCGAGGTTCACTTGCTTGCCAGCAAGCTAGTCCTCGTTGTGGCGATTCACTCACTTGGAGGTTCACACGCTAATTGGCTTCACACGCCAAACCCTCAATAGGGTGCCGCACAACCAACACAAGATGAGGATTACATAAGCCATGAGCAATCCACTAGAGTACCTTTTGGCGCTCCACC